CCCCAGGGGGGATGGTCACGCCGCAATCCCTTCTCCTCCATTCTCCTCTCGGGATCTTGGGCACGCACGCACACGCGCCTGGCGTGAGTTTTAAGCCACCGGGTCCGGGACACGAACCGCGGTCGACTACGTGGGAGTCCAGCGACATAGCCATTACGCTAACTGCTGGTTCCCTGTACATAGTCTTTGAGGAGCCCCAGGGTGCCCTGGGTCACAGCCCAGTCAGAGCTAGAGCAGACTGTTCCGTCCCGCCCGGGGGGCCGCGCCGTCTTGCCCTGCCGCTCCTTCTCTAGCTCCGACCCACTGGCTGCCAGGCTGCATGGCCTCCTCTCCGACGAGGCTTCCGAGTTCCACTGTAGCCAGTGCCACAGACAGATCAGCCGCCTCGAAGACCTTTCTGCTCGCCTGAGCGACCTTGAGATGAATAGGTAATGTGTGGTGCGCCTGTGGTGAGCTGGCGTGCTCTCAGGCCCCACCAACCCAAGGCCTGCTGTCTGCATGCGTGTGCGTGGGTGCTGGGCGGCCCTCAGGCCTCTGAGCAGATGCACGGACCGTTCTTGGGGTGCTAAGCAAGGACCACATGCGTTGGGTGGCCCTCAGCGTGCCGGGCACAGCCAGACCCCTGCTCACGTGTAACAGCGGGCCCTGCCGCCCCAGCCTGCCGCCTCCTGCACCTGCACCACTCGACCTCCGCTCCCTCCACCCCAGCCCAGCCCCTCCCAGCATCTGAGGTTCCAGCTAGAGGGCATTTCGGGGCTGCTCACTTGCCCAGCCGTGCCCACTGGGCATCTCGGTGGAGTGAGTAGATGAACGGGGCCCAGGTGGCCCCTAGTACTGCCTAGGACAGTGGCCTGGCCGGTGGAGGTGATGACGTGCAGGGCAACCTGGGCAGCCTCCTGGAGACGGCCGCAGACTGGCTGCAGGGCTCACATGAGGCAGCAGAGAGATGGACCCTCTGGAGAGTTCCGGCATGTCCACAGGCCTGTCCCAAGGAGCCTTTCTACATCTGCCCCTGCCCCTGCTCCTCAGGGCTTCAGCCAAGGCCACCCGTCCCTGCTGGTGCCATGTCATACCTGCTGTGCCCTGCCCTGCCCTGCTCCAGCCCTTCGCTTGGTTCCTGTGGCACTGCAGGACACAAAGCCTGCAGCGAGTGTCCAGACAGGTGGGGACAGGGCAGGAACCTTAGGGAAGCCGGTGGGATCTGGGCAGCGCTGGCGAGACCTCCTCAAGGGGCCTGCAGGGGCCTGAGGAAACCTGGGTCCCCCCTGTTGGAGTGAGCGGCAGAGCCGAGCGCGGGGTGTGGCAGGTTTGCTCCTGTCGAAAGGTGTGGTCTCAACTCTTATCCTCCAAAAAAATTCTTTTTGCCACTGGATGTGTGCACTTGCCAGAGAGACTGAGGGAGGGAAGGAGAGGAATCACTCCCCAGAGGGGATGGCCACACCTCAGTCTCGCCTCCTCCTCCTGGGATTCTGGGCAGGCATTTACATGCGCCCGGTGTGATTTTCCAGCTGTGGGGTTTGGGATGCAAGCCGCGTTCGGCCATGTGGAAGCAGCGCCTCAACCGCCACAGCACCTCCCCGCCCCCTGCTGGCGGCTTTTGATTGGAAGTGAATGTTTTCCACGCTGAGAACCTGCCCCAAGATGTCATGGTCCCCTCTGCAAGGCCCGCTGGGCCTGCGTGGGTGGTCGGCAAGTCCGGGGTCCCATACCCACAGTCAGCCATCCCGTCCCTGAGAAGGACCGCCACAGTGCACTGGCACCCCTCAGCTGGCATCACAGGGCCCACAGCTGTCCAGCAGGGCCCCAGACACTCGGCACAGGGAGTGCATCTCACCAGACTCTTGGCGTTCTTTTGTTTTCCCTTTTCTTTTCCAGTTTTGCTGTAGGGCACATGAGCTTGCCAGAGGGAGACGGGGAGTGCACGTCACCCCGGGCAGTGGCCGTGCCACAACGCCCTCCTCCCTTCTCATCTGGGGAGTTGGGGCGTGCACTTACAGGTGTCTGATATGTTTCCAAGCCACTGGGTCCGGAACTCGAACTGCTCCTCAGCCTTGCAGGACCCAGCCACCTCACCCTTGCTGGCCCTAAGTCTCCTTCCTTTCTAAGAGAGATTACTACTATCAGGTGTGTGTTCTCGCTAGAGAGACAAAGAGACAGAGAAATCACACACACACCCCCGGGAGGATGGCCACACTGCAGTCCCGTCTCCGTTCTCCCCTGGGATCTTGGGCATGCACACATACACACCCAGTGTGAGTTTTAAGCTGCTGGGTCTGAGACTTGAACTCCAGCTGACTATGTGGGAGTCCAGCGGTATAACCATTATGCCATCTGCTGGTCCCTCTCTTTCTTTTTTTTACTTGGATTATTTTATTTAACTTTATTATTATCATTATTATTACTATTTTCCAGTTTGATCAGAGAGAGCAGGAAAGTGAGAAAGCAAGCTGCCAGTTGGCCATGTGGGAGTCCAGCACCTGTAACCCCCTGCAGCTCAGTTCCTCTTCTTTTTGTTTTTTCTGGAGAGGTGTTCGCTATAGGGCGCGTGTGCTCGCCAGACAGACAGAGAGAGACAGAAAGTGAGAAATCACCCCCCAGGGGGATGGCCATGCCACAATCCCTTCTCCTCCATTCTCCTCTCGGGATCTTGGGTACACATGCACACGTGCCCGGCGTGAGTTTAAGCCGCCGGGTCCGGGACTCGAACTGCGGTCAACTACATGGGAGTTCAGCGACATAGCCATTACGCTAACTGCTGGTCCCATCCTCTCCTTTTTTAAAGGCCGGAGAGAGACAGGGAAAAAGCACCCCCAGGCGTGTGGTTAGGCTGCAGTCCCTTCAGTGTCCTCCTTCCTTCAGGATTCTGGGCACACAGGCACACCGCTGCCAGCCATGTGGCCAGCTCCCACAGCCCCCAGGCTGTAGACTGGCCCTGGCCTCTGGGGTTTGGTGGGATGGCCACAGGGTGAGCTTTGTGGCGAGGACCTGCCGGACGTGCCGCCTGCCCAGGGAGGTACAACTCCGTCCAGCCCCTTGGAGCTCCTGTAGTCTGACCTGTAGTGACCCCAAGGTTTGTTGGTTGTGAGCCTTTCCTGGGACTGCCAGTCATCCCTGAGAGGCTGGGAGTTCCAGGGCGTCTTGGTGACCTTGGGATGAAATTAGCTTTGGTTAGGACTAGACAGCAAGGGGCCAGCAGAGGGCATAATGGCCCCATCACCGGACTCCCATGCAGTCAGCCACAATTGTAGCTCCAGACCTCACGGCGTGTTGTGCGTGTGTGTGTGCGTGCCAATGGACTAGGGTCCTGTGAGGCCCCCAGAGGAGCTCGTCAGAGCCCCAAACGCTCTTCGGGGCATCACCGTCTGGTGCTCCCTGCCGACAGTGCAGCACACTCAGGGACCGTCCTCAGAGCAGTGAAGGTGGCACCCGGGGGGGTCACTGGCATGGCCAGCGTCGCTCCCAGACCATGTCCCATCTGGTCCTAGAAAGAAAACAGGTGGGGCCAGCAGGTGGCATGGTGGCCGACACACTGGACTCCCACAGGGCCACAGGGCCAACTGCAGTTCCAGTCCCCAACTCGGAGTTGTGAAACTCACACTAGGAGCAGGTGCGTACCCAAGATCCCCAGAGGAGAGGGGAGAAGGGGCTGCGGCGTGGCCATCCTCTCGGGGATGATCTCGCACTTTCTCTCTGTCTCTCTGGCGAGTGCGTGCGCCTATGCAGAACTCCACCAAAAAGAGAGCCACACAAGCCATGCCTGCAGGAAGAGCTGTGCCTCCTCGCAGGTCAGGGCTGGCAGTCTGTCAGAGAGCTGCAGGGACAGACTGTCGGCGTCAGAGGTGAGAGCCAGAGAGTGACCTGGTCCCGGCAGCTGCGCAGAGAGCGACGTGGCAGCAGGGAGGTTCCCAGATCGCCCCGTCCGGCGTGGGTAGGTGGGTGGGGTGTCAGTGCCAACTCTGACCCAGCAGCACTCATGTGACAGGTGGACCCAGGACTCATGGCCGTGCATTAGGCGTCCTTCATGTTCAGAACCAAGGTGCAAGTGCTGGGGTTGGCCTGGGTGTGGCTTCATCGGGAAATTTCTCTGGGGACGGAATCACACGCCTGGACGAGCCTGGCCTGTGTCCTGGAGCGTGCACTTGGCAGGCTGTCTGTGCATGGGTCTTGCTCAGGACAGTGCTGCATGCCCATCACCACAAGGACGCGCCCACCTCTCTCCAGCCCGAGCTTCCTGTCCCCTCCCGTTCTTCTCTGTCTCTGACACCATTGTCCTGTTTTGTTTTTTGCAGTCCTGCAAAACGGCTGTCCAGCAGGAAGGTGGCAAGGTAGGTGCCCTCGCTGCTGCTGGACACAGCGGCCACAGTCGCTGCTAACCAGTCACCTTCACGGTTGGGATGGAGAGTGACTCGCGGGGACAGGCTGCAACAGGACTTCCGAGCTGGGGACCCGGGCCTGGACCGTGGCCAGGGTGTGTGTGTGGAGGCTCCTGGCCCTTTCTGGTTATCTTGGGTTCAGCGCAAGGTCTGGAGGGGCCACCACCCCCACACGTCTGCTGTAGGTGCCCAAGGTCCAAAGACCCAGCGAGGGGCCAGCTCCCAGCCATCTGAGCGGCCTCCTGCCAAGCCCGAGGTAAGAGGATGGTGAAGGTGGGTCTACAGTCTCTGAAGACCTCCTGTCCTCTTCTCCGTCCTGTCTTCCATGGCCCTGCTGGGGAAGGTGCTGGCAGCACCTCCCTCCCCAGCGGGCCACGTTGTCCCTTCCTGAGATGGCCGTGGCAGCTGGATGCAGCGATGGTCTGCACGGCGTGCCCGCTGCATCGGGGACCGCTCTGCCCTCATGCAGGCCCTCTTGTGGGGCCTCAAGGCTCCTCCGGCTTGTTCTGCAGCCTTTCCTCGAGTACCTCTGCTCCCTGCACGGGGCGTCCTCCAGGCCTCCAGCCAGCCCTGAGCACCCTCTACCTATGGTCGGTGTTTCAGGCCCAAATCGGGACCCTGGCCTTGTGTCTTCCTGCGTGTTCTGGCTCCACTCTGGCCTAGCACGTCTCTGGAGCTTCTTGGGAGGGGGTGCCGAGCAGGTGCATGCCGAGACTGTCACAGCCCTTCCACTTGTGCAGGTGCCGTGGGCTTCAAATTGCTGTGCTTCCCCTCGAGTCTCGAAGGTGCTTCTCACCCTGGGCACTGTCTGCGGTGCCCCCGTGGGACTCCCATTCCGTGCTGTGTCCACGAAGCTGCAGACAGTGCCTCGGCTTGCTCCTCTGTTTCCCGTCCTAGAAACAGGCTCAGGGAGGGCAGGTGCCTCCGAGGTCACACCCCAGCAGACAGTGTAATTAATGGTCCCCGCTGGACTCCCACAGAGCTGGCTCTCGTTCGAGTCCCGAACCTAGTGGCTTAACACTCAATGCCAGGCGTGTGTATGTTCCCAAGATCTCGAGACTGGAGAAGGGACTGGCCATCCCTCTGGGGGGGTGAGTTCCCACTCTCTGTCTCTCCAGTGAGCGCACGTGCCCTGCAGCAGAAATCTCTAGAAGGAACAATCATGTCCTCTGTGTCATAGAGGGGAGAGCCAGGCCCTGTAGGGCCTTCATGCAGCAGCTCGCCCTGTCTCAGCCAGCCCAGGCCGTGAGCACGTGTGCCCAGCGTGTCAGGGGCCCCAGGACACAGACCCAGCCCTCCCCGTGTGGAGCCAGCCTCATGGAGCACCACGTCACTTCTGCGCTGGCTCCGCGAGGCTGTCCTTGCACACAGAACTTGTGCACGAAGTGCCAGTGCAAGTCCTTGTTTGTTGGTGGCCTGGGCCCAGGGTCTGTGTGCCTCCCCCAGAACCAGTGCTTGGTCTCAGGGCTCTCTCCAGCTGCTTTTCCACAGTGTCCTGCCTCCCCTCCCCTCTTCCTTGCGCTGTGGTCCCATTGCTTGTTCTTTGAAATACTGCCAAGGGGCACATACACCAGCTGGAGGGAGAGAGGGAGCGGGTCAGGGAGAGGAGGTGCCTGTCCTCCAGCAGAGTGTGGGCACGCAGGCAGCCCCTTCATTTCTCCGTCCCGGCGGGCTCCAGGCAGGCACATGCAGATGGTGTCTTGCGCAGCCTCGGTGGGACGTGCCCCGTAGCTGGCCGTGTGAGTGGCGCCATGCTGAAGTGTGCACGGCAGCCCACTCCTGCTTACAGCCCATGCTCCTGCCCCTCGGCCGGGTTCCCAGAGGCCGTCACCCTGCACAGCCTCCGTCTGTCCTGTCTGCTTCCTGCCCTCAGTTGCAGTCCTCCTGGGTTCTCAGAAGGAGCTGCTGTGGATTGGCTGTGCCCCTCGGCCTCCCACCCTGGAGGCCAGGCCTGGCCGACTGCCCCAGCACTGTCTCCGGCTCCACAGTTCAACTTAGGGACTGCGTCTGTGTTTCCCATTCCTTCTCGGTGGAAGGACTCGGGCCAAGAGGAAGCCAGGCCACCATCCTCGCCCCCTCGTTTTCTCGCTCTCCGTTTCTGGGTCCCTGGTGCTCCCACCGACGAGTTCATCACAGTCCCCTCAGCCTTCTCGGCCTCCTTGTCTTTTCCCCGAGAAGGACCACATGTGGCAAAGCTGGAGGAAGGCAGGCCAAGCCAGGACCCATCTTGCAGCCCTCACCTGGGCATGGGCAGACCCCGGGGCTGGGGTCAGCTCGGCCCTTTGAAATACACTCGGGGTTAATTTCCGCATAGGTACCTGTTGTTATAACAGCCTGGCCCGTAGGTGTGTGCGGAAGTTGGGAAACGTGTGGGTGTGTAAGCAGCTGCAGTTGGTAGTCCACTTCCCTTTTGCCACCAGAATTCTAAGGAAACACAAAATAATGGTCGTGCTTCTGTGTTCGTGACCCCCAGTCCTTCACGCGTGTGTGTGGCTTCGATTGGTGGCTTTGCAGTTCCCCACGATGGCCCTTCTCTGAGGCCTCATCTTGTCACCGTGAGGGTGGAAGTGCCTTGTCGTGGGCTGTGAGTGCAAGGATCCGTGGTCCCTGGTCAGGCTGGCCCCATCCAGGATGGGAGAACACCTCGGGGCCACAGCGGGAGCTGCGAGGGCCCGGCAACTTCACCTGTCTCCTTTTGGGTGGAGCAGGCTTCACCCTCAGCCGTCTCCTGGGGGGTCTCCTGAGCAGGGGTGGGGGTTGAGATACACAGCTCCGAGTCGCGGTGTCCGGCTCGGCACTTGCTCAGGACAGCCCCATGGCGTCACAGACTGCGCCTCAGAATGTCTGGTGAAGGGGACAAGCTGCCGGTGCCAAGAGTTGACCACACGGGGGACGCCGTGGCTTCTGCAGGCACGCAGTCAGGCGCTCACCCCACCTGTCTTCAGCAAAGCTCTGGCACAGCACTTCGGGTCACCCTCCTGATTACCTGCAGATCCCGCCCTACAGGCGAAGGCTCAGAGAGGGCAAGTGCCTCTGAGGTCACACAGCTCCGGGCGTCAGACCGTGGTGCTCGGGACTGCGGTTCATGGGCCGAATGGGACCGGACTGTGACTACTTGGCATGCCTGTTAATGCTGTGGAGGGTCGTACCCTCCGGCTGAGGCAGGGCTCACGTGGTCAGTCTGAGTGCGTGTGCGCTGGACACTTGGTGAGGCACTGCCAGCCCAGGAATGGCTCTGCCCGAGGCTGCCGTGTAGGCTAGAGACTCCCGTGGACCTGTGAGCACGGAGGGTCAGGCATTGCCATGTCCCAGCCAAGCAGCACCTACATAGCCTGCGTGACTGTGGGCCCGTGTGCACCAAGGTTGGTGTGCAGAGGACACTCATGCCCATGCCCCTCCCTCAGCTCCACCAAGCAGGCCCCCAGTGACCCTCCAAGTGGGACCTCCTGAGACCCAAGACCCTGGCTGTTAAGCCACTGGAAGTGCATTTCAAAGCCAGCGGTCAGTGTGGACGACACGGGCAGAGGTCGAGGCCTTGCTGGCGTTTCCTAGGGCTCCGGTGGAGGCGGTCGCTCCCCGGTCCAGGGCAGGGTGTGGGTGCTTTATTGCACCTGAGTACAAAGTACCTGGCCCCACTTGCTGGTGTAGCGAGGCTGTCGGGCTCCAAAGAGCACTGGGTGGACTCAGGCCACAGCGTGACTGCCCGGCTGGGCTCTTGGTAAAGTGACTGGCCGTCCCAGAAGCCCCTTGCTCAGTGCTTTGACGGGAGGAGACCCCGTGTCTGGGCTGCTGCCTGCTTTCCAGGTGGACTTGGGCATGCTGGCGGCCAAGGAGCTTGCCCTTTGGTTCCCCCCCGTCTTCCCGGTCTTGTTCCTTTTTCACAGGTTCTTGCACCAGTCGGGGGCCCTGACCATGGAGGCCCTGGAGGAGCCTGCTCCGGAGCCCGTGGACAGTCCCGAGGAGGACATTGCTGACAAGGTGGGCCCCAGTGCCAGGTGGGCAAAAGGGCTCGAGATGGTTGGCCGGGGCCAGGGCACCTGTCCTGCTTGGATGAAGGCAGGGTGCACAGCGGGCAGCAGGAACCCAGCTGGCACGCCCTTCCCTGCTGTGCTGGGAGCCCAGGGGCAGGGGCCGCGGATGCACCTTGACTCCTGCATGTGCCAGGGTAGAAGCCTCGTGGTACGCCCCAGGTGCGATTCACCAGGACTGGGATGAGGGCACTCAACCCGTGGTGGCAGTGGGGGGAGCCAGCACCCCGATGCTAAGGACCAGCTTGGCCCCCGCCCCTCGCCACCCCCACATGCTATGCAGCAGCCTGCACGTGTAGCTGTGGCTCCCACCTCCCGCCTGGCCGGCCGTGCGGCACGCCCCCTCCCACCTCCTTCCCCTCCTGCTTCCGCCCTCCTCCTGCCTGTAGGTTTTTCTCCCCACCAAATTTGAGCCCTCCAAGGCAGAGAGTGGCAGACAGGCCCTGTGCCCCAGCCCCCGGCACCTGGACCGTCCCAGGGCTGCACACGCAGAGCAGGTGCCCTGCCTGTGGGCCGACCTCAGTGCCCTTGGGGCATCTCCAAGAGTGACGGACCCAGCTCCAGCCACGGAGGGGTCTGATTCCCTCTTAAGGAAATTCCCGCTCAGGCTGGCCTGTGGCCTGGTGGCCAGGGAAGCCAGAGCCCACGTGGCCCACCATGGTTTGTGTCCAGGCCCCAGCAGCTTGAAGAGCATATCAGGCACATGTGTGCGTTCCCCAAATCCTAGCAGGATGGAGACATGGAGAAGGGGTTGCAGTGTGACCAGGCCCTGCTGGGAGGCCTTCCTCTGCCCTCTCCTCCCTCTCAGGACAGCACAAGCACACTCTGGCAGTTAAAAAACGGAAAGAGGCTGCTGGTGGCCTCCCTTCTCACGGGAGAAGAAGTGATTGTGGCGTGGCCATGGTCCAGGAGTGATTCCTCACCTTCCTCTCACTGTCCATCTTGGAGAGCACACGCCCTGTGGGGAGGTCTGAACAAACGAGAGGAGCCTCTTGACACCACCCTGCCAGGCACCCCGGGGGCAGGTCCTCCTGCTTGGCTCTGAGGCCGTTGCCTCCTCCTCAAGGTTGTCTTCCTGGAGCAGCGGGTATTAGAGCTGGAGAAGGGCACTGCGGCCACGGGGGAGCAGCATGGCCGGCTGCGACAGGAGAACCTGCAGCTCGTGCACAGGTGAGGCCACACAGGCGCCACTGCTGGGAGCTGGAGCAGCCCGTTTCTCCAGTGCTGCGCTGGGGGATGGGGTGCCAGCGCTCCTGGCAGCACCTGTGGGCGAAGGTGGGCCTGAGGGAGGTGCTGCCTCACCTCTTGACAAGGGAAACAGCAGCACCGAGGAGGGCTGCTCACAGCTGACTGCAGCACGTGCTCAGCACCATGGCTGTCAGGCAGATGCGGGTCAGAACCACGGGTCAACTTTTCCTCCCTGGGGTGTCCATGCTCAGAGCCTCTGGGGCAGATTTCTGACTGCAGGTGGAGCTGGGGAGGGAGGGTGAGGTGTCCATGCAGAGGCTTTGATGACAGGTCCTGGCAGCGGCTAAGTGGCAGAAAAGTGAAATGAGAGGAGATCCGCCAAGTTCGAAACAGGACACGCGACCGAAGCCCAGCCAGGGTAGAGGGGGGTGCGAGGCAGTGGGGCTGCACGTGCAGCTGCATTGTGTCCTCTGCTGTGCACTGTCCCCATCTCACAGGAGTGGCCAGGGGCCTCTCCCCCAGCATGTTCTGGCTCCTCCAGAATGGGGGGCTGGACCCAGGGGACGGAGCTGGCAGTTGTGGGGACAGTCTTTGGGCAGAGACATCAGGAGGCCCGGAGATACTGTGGAGTCCACGGAATGCTCTTCTGAACCTCTGTTCTGACCCGCTGCCCAGACCACCTCCTGGTCTTCCATGAGTGCGTAACCTCAGGAAAGGGCCTGAGAAACCAATTTCTGCCCTTGAGCAGGTGAGGTCGGAGTGCTCAGAACAGCCCTGGGCAGAGGCCCATGCACTCCCATGAGACAGCAGTGGCAGCTCCATCGTGACCAGGTGCTCCTGAGCCACACTTGTCATTGACTCACTGTTCTGAAGGCTTACAAGGCCAAGAGCGTGGGGCCACCATATGGCGAGGGCCTTGCCGCACTGTCCTGTGGGGAGGCAGGGAGGTGAATGAGCCGCCAAGACTGGACGGCCGAGTGCACCTTCGACCGGAGCCCACCTCACAGCAATGGTGCCTGTCCATGCTGAGCCCTCAGGCCTGGATGTTCTGCCTCTCAGCACTGTCATAGTGGCTCAGAATTTTAGCATGCATTCCGCAGGGGACCCTCGAACCATAGCTTAGCACCAGGCGCACACTGTTGCATACCTCAGTCGACTGCAGTCCCCATGGGTGTCTGCCTGGTGTCACGTTAGCTCTCCTGAGCATTGTCTCATGCCGCCAGTTCTCGGTTCCTGGCACGGTGAAGTGCCATTCACCCCGCACTGAGCTGGCTGATGCCTGGCCTTCTACACGGCCGCCTTCTCTCAGACATCACCTCAGGAGTGCCTGCTTTCTCCTGTCATTGGTTCCTTATTTTCCAGATCCCATGTTTTCTTGCCTACTCATTTTTCAGGTTATCCCCTCATAGATGCCCAGAAAAGGGAGTTTAGGAGCCAAGTATTTTCAGATATGCATGTCTGAAACTGTGTTTGTCCCTGCCCTGTTCCAGCTCCCAGTCGATAGTTTAGCTGGGTATGAAACTCTGGGTCTGAAATTGTACTCCCTGGGAATCTGAAAGTGTACTCCAGTGCGCCCTGGTCTGGTGCTGCCCACCCGGCAGTCTGGGCTGCCTTGTCTCCAGGATTCTAGGGTGCCCTTTCACTGCTCTCTGGTTTTCAGTCATTCGAGTTATTCAGCTTTTGGAAGGTCTCTAGAATTATTTCTCGATGCAGTCTCTTCCTTTCCTCACCTGTATTAACGTCTGTTAGTGAAATAGGGGACCTGCTGACCCTTTTTAAGGCTTGTACCATAGGGTGTGTGCACTCAGCAGAGAGGAGAGAGACAGAAAAGGAAAGTGAGAGATCACCCCCGGGAATGTCCACACCATGACCCCTTTATTCTGGGCACACACACATGCACCCAGCATGAGTTTCAAGCCTCTGGATCTAGGACTTGAATCGGGGTCGGCCATGTGGGAGTCCAGCACCTTAACCACCGTATCACCTACTATCCCTGGGCCTACCGGCTTTAAGCTCCCAAGATGGCAGTGTCCAGCCCATTGGTGCTGCCCGCGTCTGTGGGTGCCTCCCTACTGTCTTCTGTGTGTTTCCTCAGTGTTCCCTTCTTGCTTGCTTTGGCCACTTTTTAAAAAAAATGAAGAAATTGAATATTTTATTATTTATTTTGCTGTAAAGCTGTTGCTTCAACTGTATAAACTAGTACAAACTAGTAAATGTATAAACTAGTAAATGCAGTGCATTGCAAAACTAAAATCGTACTGTTCTTCAACACGATTCAACTAACAGAAGCTTTTCTCAACCCCCAGTTATTTCCAGTGGAGAGAAAACGAGTATTCTGATCCACATCCAGGGACAGTTATAAGCAAGATACAGTGTGATATAAGACTTAGGGTAACAGCATTATCATTAATTGCATCATTTTTATAACTAGTTTGCCGGGGACTAGCCTCGGCGTGGGTGGGTTATCTCGACGGAGGTGGCGAAGGTGAACAGAAACAAAAATTAGACTAAGACCTCAATGCCTTTCAGCATGTTCTCAGCCGGCCACAGCCAGAGCAGAACTCCAGGCTGCAGCGCTGGCGGCTACTAAGCACACGTATTTATTGAGGGATCTTACAGGAGTAGGAGGGTTGAGTGGGAAATAAAAGATTTACTCTACGAAACAGAGAATTCAAAGCACAGGAACAATGATCATAAAACATGACATCTGTCTTGTTTGAACAGGTGAAGCCAAACACAGTTCTCAGAACGAAGGAGTCTATTTGTCGGGCGCATTTTCTTCAGTCTTGATTACCGGACAGGGTCTTTTGAAGAGGGGGCTTGCAGGATGTTTGATAGCTTCAGTCCCAGGCCAGGGCGATAACATTGCTGGTTGCAAAGACCTAGATAGAGATCTTGTCTTGTTAAATAAAGACACAGTTAATATATGGACTATCCATACGTTAACAACAGTAGAAAGTGAGTCTATGATCTTATATGGGAAAGGAAGATGATCTTGTAGCTCAGGAGACAACACAGGATGTTGTATTAGCAGTTTTTCATAGTCAACAGCACATAGATGAGAAACTCTTTGTAGGTGAAAGCTACCTGTTGCTTTAGATAACAGCTCCCAGCTAAGGTGGTTAATCTTTCTCTGGAGCCCTCAGGTTTGTTCATCCTGTCAGTCGCCAGTCAGGCTTTTCCTTTCTTAGAAAAACCATGGGTTTTTGTTTTATTTGCTGAGTCTGTCAATTAGTGAGTTCTTTTGTTTTATCTCTGGGTACATGTGCTGACTTTGCCTAGCACGAGCTAACTTTGACCTGTAGCTTTAACAAGGGTATGTACGTAAAACTAGCCTTAAACTTAGTTTTCATATGCTACTGATGCTACTGTGGTTTATACTATTTTGACCTAACATATGTTAATTTTGGCTTAGACAGACAAGTGGGGGAGTCTCAAACTTCCCGCCCTCTTCTTAGGGAACCACATTCCTACAAGATCACTAATTGGCTTTATTGCAATGGTTGGGGGTGATGTTTTACCCTT